GGCTCCGCATCATTTTTAAAAAGTTACTGTTGAAAAAAAAACGATTTTTTGGACCACCCTAACATGGAAATGGTCACCCTAATATTTTGCGATAAGGAACAAAACTACCAATTTTTATGAAATGCTGAGAACCACTATACCCAAGTAATCAACAGCCTGCTAATTCGTCTTTTTGCAATATAAGGCTGGTATATGGCTAACAAAGGGCGTGCTAAGGTTTGAATTAGCCGCATATTAGCCTTATATTGCAAAAAGGCGAATTAGCTGCCTTGTTAGTTACTTGGGTATAGTTATGCTATGGAATGGCTTTCATCAACCTGGATTAACCTTCCTAGTGCATTAGGGTCTTTTTTGATCCCGCATCTCTTTAAAAAAAAACTGTAACTTTATAAGGGGCTGTTCATAATTTACGTTCTCTCCAAGATCAGATTGACATCTTTGCTGACTGGTGTTGTCTAAACCGACTGGTGGTCAACCCAGCTAAGTGTACAGTGATTACTTTCTCATGCAAGAAACAATCAATTATTTTCAACTACAAACTACTAGGCACGACTATCGAACGGGTGCATTACGTGAGACTTAGGCCTTTTTTGTAGACTCAAAGCTGACATACTCACACCATATATCGTATGTCGTCGACAAAGCTCAAAGAACTCTTGGCTTTGTCTTCTAGATTACTAAGAACTTCACAGACATTTACTGCTTGAAATCGCTCTATTGCGCTCTCGTACGATATACATTGGAATACTGCGCTGCAGTCTAGAGCCCGAACTACAATAGTGGGGCCGAGCGAATTGAATCAGTGCAACGACGTTTTCTTCGCTTCGTGCTCTGTAAGTTGCCTTGGAGACAGCCACTTCGTCTTCCAATCTACGAGAATCGCTGCCAATTGATCAATCGTATCCGAAGAGATGTTTTCAGAGCCTGAACCGTCGCCGATACTCTGCAAGGAAGAATCTACTGCGAAGAAATTCTGCAACAAGTGAACATTAATGTTCAACCTCGATCACTACGCAACAGTCTTATGCTAAGACTTCCACTTCTTCGAACTAATTATAGCTTAGAAAGTGCTATTTGCAGCGAGTGTTCAACCGAGTAGCGTGGATGTTCGATTTCCACTTGACACGGAATATGCTTCGCCGAAGATTCTCTGCCTTTTTTGCTGACCTTTGGCGCTTGACGCCCAACAGCTAAGTGTACAATTTAAGACTTATACATTTTAAGTAACTTGACAATGCTTTCCTAGTTATTTTCGTTTGTAACTATAGTATATGTAGTCTATATAAGCTGTACTTTTTTTTTACAACACATCATTGGGACTGTTTCTAGTCTGTTGATGCAAACAAAACAAATAAACAAATAGCTGTCAATTATTGGTTTTGTTATGATTGTCGCAAAAAGTGAAACGCTTCTTTCTTTGCTTTATGCTGACACCGAGTAAAATTCCAGCTGAAATGGAACAGATGCGTAATAAAATTTGCTTTGAAAATTAAAACTATGGCAATGATGCCATTCACAATGCTGGTGGGACCTTCCTCGATCATTAATTTGCTATCTCAGAGTTATCTTCCACTTTTCCTAAGCCCTTTAGTGAAGCATTTATGGGTTTTCGTATGGTGCATTGCCACAACGGGGGGAGTTAAGTTGTGACGCTCGGCAACTTGGCACAGTACTCGCTGACCATTTGAATGTCACTGACCAATTCGACACTGTTGTTATCATTCTTTAGAAGGGGTCGGTCGATTCCAAGAATTGTTAAAGCATACAGAGGACATCTAAAATGGAAATATATTGTTTATCAATACGTACCGTTTGTAGGATTGTAGTCCTTCAACCTTTCATTTTCATTTTCTCCAACATTAGATCCTGCTACGTCTTCCGTTGGATCGTGATGTAGGTACCGGATCTTTCCTCTTTTTGAATTCTTGAATTTTCAGCAGCTTTCGAATGACGGTAGTTCACTCAACGGAGGTGGAAGCTGCCAGTTCGTAGGTATCATTCCGAGTTTCAATTCTCTACTTGATCCACCGTGACAAGTTTTTCGGTTTGGAGTTGGAAAATCACCGGTTTGCTGTGATTAGGATACAAATTGCCGTGAAATTTTGTAGTGCAAAACAAAAACAACAACGAGTACCGTGTTATGATTATTCGTTTCGGTGACATTAGGTCACACACACAGCCACTGTTAATGAGCAGTCTCACTAAGACTTGTGCTTCAAAGTTCCGCCATAGACCAAGAGATGGATCTAGCCACATCTGCATACTAGGTCCAGCAGGGCCACAAAGAAGACACTTCCAAAACGTCATGCACTGGTACCGTCTGATGACTCAAAATGTATGATTTTTCATCCAGAAGTAAATATAAATCATGCCTTGGACCCAGGGTTGCTTCCACTCACTTGCTATAAAAAATGATTTTCTGAATTTTGAAATCATTAGACGTTATAATGATATTTTGTACTTGTTAGATACAAGAAGATGTTGAAAGGCAAGTATCTGACACATAAAACCTATCAATTTCGCTTCCAGAAAGTTACAATCAGCGATCTTATGATTCGTGAGCGTACACTCAGAAAGGGTGTGTTCGTGCCCAAGCCTCGTTATATTACTGAGTTGATCTATCCAGGCCTCTATTGAAAAAATCGTGGAGGTGCTGGGTGTTATATCCTAGATAAATGGTAAGTTACAAATTCGCTGTTGTCGCCGTAGGAAGTACCGTTAGTATATTTAAAATTAACCATCAGCCGCTGAAACTATATAAATTATCGCGTATCTCTGTTGTTCATTACATACCAAGTAAAAACTTAATCATATTTTGTCGTGGAGTGTTGTGGCTTTGAGATGCTCGTTAACCCTGGAGGGATCTGTTTTGCTTAGTGAGCAGAATATCATGGATTTAATCCAAAGCTCTCCCACAACAGAATAAACCACCGTCGTTGGGTTCCGAGAGCATAAAGCGCTGTTAATAACCAAAAGTTGAATAGTTTAAACCATGATTTTCGGAAAGGGTGATCCAGTTTGGAAGACATTGTTGGCTGCTTTCAGAAACGTCGCTTCATTTGAATAACTTTTTGTTGAGTCGGTCGTAGATTGTGGTAATGTAAGGGGCTCAGGGGCTATAGAGCAACTAGTTTTGCTTAATGAATAGAAGATCATGGGTTAAAACCCAAGCCTCATTACATTACTAAGTTAATACAGGGTGCGTGACGAATTTTTGCCTTAAATTTCAAATAGTAATTTCTCATGCTTGTGCATCATGATTTAGATATATTTGGCAGCACTGGATAGCTTATACTGTTAGGTGTAAGATTTAAACAAACAATGTTGAGTAAAAGTAAAGATGTCGAAACAAGAGAGCAATCTGTCAGCCGTTGTCGCTTTGTTGCGCGCCGGAGTATGCATGAAAGAAATAATTCGGTCGGTAAATGTGTCTGAAAGAACAGTGTATAATATTAAAAAAGGCTTGGGAAAGTGATAAGACGGAGCACCTGCTCATACTGCTAATAAAGCACAGAAATCGCTTACGGAAAATATTTCGTAAATTTGGGAGTAAGAAATTTGGCCCCCAAGCAGTCCCGATATCAATCCGTTGGATTATTTTGTATAGGGCTTCGTCCAACGGGATACCAATAGAACCCTTCACACCACACTTAAGTCGCTAAAAGCTAAAATCAAGGCAGTGATGACATCTATGGATCGAAACATTTTAAAACGTGCATACTGCAGTTTCCGGAAGCGTCTAACTACAGTCGTCGAAAGGGAAGGCAATTTTTTTGAATAAATTTACTTACAACTTCCATATGTTGCGAAAGAAAATAAATCGCACAAAATTCATTGCTAGAATAACTAACTGGTGTATTTTTTCTCAAATATGCCATTTACTGCAAAAATTCGTCACGCACCCTGTATATCCAGGCCTCTATTGTAGAAAATCGGTAATAACAGAAATTGGAGGAACGATTCAGAAAAGTAATAAGTATAATTAGACAAATGTGACGTATGCCTGAATCGGTTCGGAAGACGTTGTTGCTACTTTTGATGATTTCTTTTTTTGTGGTTATGTAAGGGGCACGGTGGCCTTAGAGCGACCGTTTTTGCTTACTGAGCAGAAGATCGTGGGTTAAACCCCAAGGCTCTTTACATTACTGAGTTGATATGGTCGCGTCATTTGCTTAACAGGTTTTAAAAGATCGCATCACTTTCCAATGTGAATCCAGACCTAATTTACCCTTCCCATTAACAAAAACGTCCTTATCGTGACAACCGTGAAGATGCAAAGGTATACTCGGTCTTTAGTAGTGAAATAACAACCTTTTCCCTCCCCGATGACCGTAAGGACGTGGCCGGCGCCGTTATTGACCTGAAAAATATGGATTCTCCGTGATGTACACTGATAATGGAATACAAATCCTAAGCCCCATTCATATGGTTCTTTGAGCAAATTTCGCCAAATCTGGTCAATCACGGAGTAGCAACTACTGAAATGTATGGTCGTCAATGCTCATGCTCATGCTCAGCTGGAACGGGTGTTGGCAATGGCCAATTTATGTTTGCGTTAGAAAACCTATCGTGTGACAAATAAAACATTTCAAGACCAACAATTGAAAAGACCTCAACTCCATTTTGTAAACAAACCTTGTAAGGCCATTTTGCCGCGAATCGATGTCCGCCAACGCAAACCAACAACATGAACAGGTAGAGGAAATTCTCCTCTACCCGATTGTGTTCTAGGTTTGCGAATGTAGGTTTTGGCTCGCGAGAAAATGACCTTACAAGGTTTGTTTGTAAACATTTTTCGAAACTGGTTCCGGGTATCCGGATATGGCCAGGTTCACCTGTTGGTCTAAGACATGATATCTTTTTACTTCTGGATGAAAAATCATAAATTTTGAGCCGTTAAATATTTTTATTTATCATATTTTTTCGACTGCGATCGATCAACTAACCCACCTTGTTTTCTTCTGTTCTCTTCTCTCTGCATCCCGTTCATCACACACCAGCAACCGTTCGTACAACAGCAACAGCAACTACAACAGCTACATTCGCCGCAGTCGCAATCACCCTGCTCCCCCCTCTCACCGTCGTTGCTGGCGTCGACGTCGTCGTCTGCTTCCTCGCCTTCGCCCACTCCTGCTGCTGCTGGCGTAGACATCGTAGACGTCGAGGACGAACTGCTGCTCAACGAGAACGCAGTCTCGAAGCTGTTCCCGAACGATTCACTCACCACCGTCGAGGAGCTCGTCGATTTGGACCAGATAGACGTCGATCACATCTTGAATGAAAACAATTTCCTGAACAACATCAACAATTTGAACTTTTTCGAAGAATCCCTCGGGGAAAGTGTCGATAGGAATAATCTGATCGCGAGTGGAAGCAGCGTCAGTAGTAACAGTGCCAATAGTGGATACAGTGTCGGTACGGGTGGCGGAAGTCCGCAGGATTCGTTGTTGTTGGTGGACGAAAGGGGAGTAGTATTACCGAACGGTGAGATGCAGTTGACACAGCCATCCGTGGCGACCACGCTGCAGCAACAGCAACAACAGCTGATTGGCAGTGGGAGCGGGAACGGATCACCGGTTCTGCTGGGCAGCAACAACACCAACAGTGCCAGTACGGACGAAAGTGTCAGTGCCCTGTTGAATGCCAAAATAGACAATTTGCTGGGGCTCAATCAGCCACAGCCGCAGATCGCTAGTCAGGAAGATGCCTTGTTGGCCGACTTTGAGCAGGAAAGTTTGGAAGAAGCGTGCCACAGTTTGATCCGGGACATGAACGAATACGGGGTTTGCGTGCTGGACAACTTCCTGGGACAGGACCGGGGATTGCACGTTCTCCAAGAAGTCACCAACATGTACTCGTCCGGGGTGTTTAAGGTGAGCGGTTTTGTTTGAGGGTGGTCCAAGGCGCGCCGCGCCGCGCCGTTTGGGCTTCTTATCTTATCAGTTGCTTAGTACTGCACATTTTTTTCTGGTTCTAACGAGTTAGGAGTGAGCAAATTTTACGCCTCATTGAGGAGTGTGTTCTTTTTTTATTTGCAACGATAAGAAGTCCGACGCTTGGGATCATCGTGTTATCAGGCGGTGGTAAATTGCATTTCTAATGTGTTTGTTTATTTTCGTTTTATGTTTTAAAAGGATGGACAGCTTGTCTCCAATAAGGGTGGAAAAAATATGCGGCACATCCGAGGGGACAAGATCGTGTGGATCGGTGGCGGAGAGCCAGGATGTAACAACATTGGGTACCTGATCAATAGGGTAAGTAGCTTCGATTTGGGCAGGATGGTTTGATTGAATACTAATCGACTGATTTTGCTTTCCTTGACGATTACAACAGGTGGATGCCATAATCACAAACTGTAAGCGAATGATTAACAACGGAAAGCTGGGCCAGTACAACATCAGAGAGCGAACCAAGGTAAGCCGCGGAACAAATTTCCACCGACTCTTGGTGACTGAGCTAGTCCTATCACATAAATTTAGGGCAGACGCAAATAATCCTTATTAGGTACGTGTGCGCTTCATAAAACCAGAAACGGCAATGCAATCTTATCTGCGGGTGTTCGTGGTTTCTACCACGCATTGGCGATAATTTCCCTTTTAAAACCATCAATCACCTTTTAATGTTATCCCGCTCCGCTATCTGGATGCAATCTATCGCATCATCCGATGTGATTAGAATGACGTTCTCCACCGACATCACTTCGCCAAGAACGACGGTCTGTCTTGTTTAGGGTAAATTTTAACACCAAATAATGCTAGTCATCTCTGAACAAATTGTTGACAGTAAACTTGCCATCGTCTCTCGATTTCATCGGAACTGCATTGTGAGTCATAACTGTACTTACGAACTGGGTGGGTGGCTTGTGCACTTGTTATTTGTAATTTCCAGTTCGAAGCAGCTGCAGCAGTACGATTTACTAGTTTTCAGCACTCGGGGATTCATCTTCCAGAAGGGAATACCAAAGTGCGCAGACCAAAATTCTTGTAGATGGCATTGTTAGAGTTTCAAACATGGTGTTTGCCTTGAGTTCAAATGGCTGAGTCTTATAGCGACCTTAATGGATTCCTCGGGATTTTTTTTTTCTGGGATGCGACTAATCATTGTTTTAGTTAAAAATCGAGAAAAAAAAAAAAACGTTTTCTAAGATTGTTGTTCCTCAGCTTAAACGTTGAATTCTTTAAACTTCTGAAATTGTTAGAAACATTGGATCACAATTAACACAATGGTATACAACAATATTCCATAACTGTGGTCATTCACCTTGCAAAACAAACGCAACGGGAAACACACCCTCAATCGATCATTACCCGTTAATAACAAACCTTCTCGCCCTTCTACCGTGTGTGTATCTGTGTATTATAGTAGGTACCTAGCATTGCATTGTTTCGGTCACGTCAGCCGGGCCCGGCTGCCTACCTACATATCTAGCTCGAAGTCGACCATATGTTGGAAGTTTTAGGCGTTTTGGTTTTCCTTCATTCCACGCAAACTCCATCCACAAACAGCATGCGTTTATCTAAAATTGCCGTTGGTGCATCGGTGGGTACGGTCACGTAGACCACGTGCAAGCAAGCAAGTAAAAGCGGATAGATTTCCTCATCGTCGTAATCTCCGGAATCGGTTTTTAATGACGCCTGTTGGTTTAGTGCTATCTGTTTCGGTCGTGACGCGTCGAACGTTCGCCGCAACAAGCTTGCTGTTGGTGCGAAAAGCTCTAGGATTAAATGGGATGCTTTCACCTTATAGCTCTTCTAGATTAGACGACTTTCACCTTGTATAAAAAACGTCCCGAAATGTCGTTGAAAATTGCACCATCGCACTATTTTTTGTAGTTGTGAGTTTGGGTCATTTTGTCTAGAATTTCTCTGCAGAACTCGGTACAGATCTTCTCCAAAGCAGTATTGACAGTCACTTTACAATTCTCTTCGATTAGAGCAGCCCCCCGCCAAATGACGAATCGAAAAAAACTCGATCTTCTCCGGTTTGCATGAAACATTGCATAATTGTTTGCTGTTTGGCAATGATTCATATATTTTTTGTTTTAAAAAATTAGGTCATTTCGCAATCTTGTAAAAGTTTCAAAATGGCGCACATAGGACCATTCTGGAAAAAAGGACGGTTAAAATCCTTTTCTCGATTTTCACGATGTTTTAGCGATATGGTTTCTTCGAAGAAGTTTCTTGAAATGTTATTCTGCATCTTCTGAAATATCCATACATAAATTATTATTAAGGTGGTATTACACTTAGAAAAACTAACTTTTTTAAATCACAAGATAATATGTTTTTCTTTTCGGATAAGTTGTAGAACTATGAATTTCGTGATCTTTGCTGAAGACACTAAGTTTCTCCGTCATAATTGTAGCGAAATATGAATGGATTTTTGTCAGGACTACTATAAAACTATTTTTTCATTAAAATACACAACTCTTCTCAAGACGGCAATATTGTAAATCGCTTCATTTGCGTTGTAAAGCGATTTTGAAGCAAAATTTTACCAATTTTACAGTTAAAATTTCTCTGAAAATGACAGTATCTGGCAGCCAAAATTGGTTGTTTGATCAACCATGATATGAAGTACTAATATTCAAAAAATCACTGTCGGGTCTGCTCGGGTACATAGGTTTTTTTTAAAGAGAAATTTGTTGAGCTTCAGGGTAGTCCGTAGATCTTGAGAACAGAACTACAAACAAATTAAAAGTAATTAGCAGAAATTCATAAAAACAAAATCACAAGAGAGGTCGTAGATCTTCAGATAAATGTTCAAAGAAATTTTCAAAACTTCAAGCAAGCAAAAATAATTTCAAATCAATTTGTAAAACTATAAGCGAAATTTTGCAAATCTTCAGGGAAATTCGCATAACTTCAGACAATTCCAAGAATATACAGTGAAATATAAAGTAATTCACAGAAGTTTGGAGATCCTCGAAACATTATTCAACAACAGAAAAGTTCGTAGATTTTCAGAACAAAGCTACAGGACTTCTGAAAAAATCACAAGAATCTCAGAAATGTTAATGGATCTTCAGTAAAAAAATCAGAACTTCAGGGAAGTGCGGCGATTTAAAAAAAATATTTACACGATTTCAGGAAAATGTGTAGATCTTGAGAGAGACATTTAAAACTTCAAGGAAGCTCAAATATTTTCAGATAAATTTTGACAACTTTAGGTAATCTTCAAGTAAATTTTCAAATCTTCAGGGTAACCCGAGAGGAATTTACAAAACATCAGAGAAGTTTGCAGATCTACTGAGAAATTTATTGAGCCTCAACTTTTTTTTGTAGATCTTGGGAATAGAGCTACGGAGCTTAAGACAACTATACAGAACTTTAAAGATATTTGCAGGAATTTGACAAAAATTTTCAATGTGAGATCTTCCGAAAAATTCGTTAAATGTCAGAAAACACCTCAATTCCAAAAACAAATTGCAGCGAAGTACAAAAGTACAATATTTTGCAGAACTCCATGGAAGTAGGAAATAGATAGATCTAAAGAACTTCAGAGAAGTCCGTAGACCTTAATAGAAATCTGTAGAACGTCAGAAAGTTCGTCGATCTTTAGATCAAGAATCCACAAAGAAATTTAAAGAACTTTAGAAAAATTCGGAGATCTACTGTGAAATTTATTGAACTTAAGGGCAGTTCGTAGATCTTTAGAACAGAAATACAGTATTTCAGAAAACTTCACATAATTTGAAATAAATTTTAGGAACTTCAGAAAAGTTCAGAGGGTAGATCTTAAATCTACTCAAAAATTAGCAGATGTTTAAATAAATTTTCAGAATTTTACTGCGGTTCTTGGATTTTGAGAGACATTTACAGAGCTTCAGGTATGTTCGCTGATCTTTAGAGATATTTGCACAGCTTCAGAAAAATTAGATAAACTTCAGAATACTTCCTAAAACTTCCGAAAAGCTAAAACATTTCTAGATAATCTTTCAATTCTTTAGAAAATTGTATAGATGTTCAGAGATATTTGCAGATTGAATCATGAAAATCTGCAGAGAAAATTACAGAACTTTCGAGAAGTTTGTAGATTATTAGAAATTTTGTGAACATCAGAGATAATTGTTGATCTTCAAGGATCTTAAATCTTCAGGGATTCAGGAATTTTGTAGATTTTTAGGAAAATTTGCAGAACTTCTGAAGAACACACAGAACTTCAAAGAAATCTGTAGAACTACCGAGAAATTTGCAGATCGTCTGGAAAGATTGTTGATCTTTAAAGAAATTTTACCGGAGAACAGAAACAAAACTTCAGGGACGTCAGAAGGTTTGAAGACCTTGCAGAATTGAGTTGTTAACAGAATTTTTTAGAACTCAAGGAATCATGTAGATCTAGTGAGAACTTTTCCCACTAGCTTGTCTAAAGTTGGTATCGACATCCTGGCGAAGTTTTGAAATCCATTTTCATCTTCATATCGCAGCTCTTGAAGGACAAGATGAGCCAGATCCCTGCCGGTGTTCCTCCTGAGCAACCATTTCCTACTCCACAAAGTTCACCTTCTCCTTCTCATTTTATTTAAAATAATAAAAGCAAATACGTCTGCCGGAAATAGAGCAATTTTCTGGTAATTTATGCTGGAAGTATTTACTTTTGATTCCTGATACAGTTTTTTTTGAAATTTAAATTGACAGTTTTTTCGACATGTGCAAGCAGAAGGGCTCGACAAAGTGTGTCGAAAGTAAATTCGAGTAGATTTTTCATTATGGCGGCGGTCAAAATCAGACCAAGAAATCAGATAGTCTAAACGGACCTTAAGAGATTTTAGACATGTGAAACCATGATTTATTCTGTCTTGATCTTCCAAACAGAGTTGGACTCAAACATATTATCAAAATGATATTTTGTTTTTGAAAGCATATTGTTATCAAATTTTGATATATCGTTTTATCGAAATAGTATAGACAGGGTTCTTACTTGTATTTATATTCTTGAATTTAAAAAATACTACACAAATACCTAAAAAGAATGTAATATTGATTGATGTAATGCATGCTACTGTATGAATAACTAATGTGATTGCAAAAACCAAATACAATATTACACCCATGGATATAATTTCTTTTCGCAAATTATGTGTAGGATAAATGCACCAATAGTGGAGGTACTTTTACATTGCACTAACGTGCATTTATTAAACATAAATTGAACAAATTAATATTAAACAACCTATGTGCATCTGTGCTGCTGTAATATTCAATAACTTTTTTGCTGTGCCGACATATAAGTATCAACGCCCAAGTTTGAACAATCGAAAATAACATAAATCAATAAATACATAAAAGGGATTCCAGATGGATAAATAGATAAAATAATAATGTGTATAATTTGTAGGCACCTGGAATTTTTTTTCATCCGACCTGGAAAAACCTGGAAAACTCAGGGAATTTGATTCCTTGGATTGAGTAGAC